TATGAGTCTCTGAAGCTAGTGAGGAAATTTATTTTTTTTTTTTTAACTGTGGTGTCACAAACTTGATGCGTTAGCAACAGATGCCATTCGCATAAGCCTCTGCTCTCTTCGGGAGCGCAGCATGCGAGCGGTATTCACAGTCTGCATGCAAAACACACAGGGGTTGATGGTATGAAGTCATGTCTTTTAATACACGCTGGCTCGAAGAGCACCTTGGTGTAACATTGTGAAGCTTTGGCTTTGGGGCTTAATTAGACCAAGACGACGGAGCTCCGTGTTGTGCATGGAAAGTCTGTTTGGAGAATGTCAATGAACTGAAAGTCAGAGCAACCATTCTGTTAAAACAATACTTAGCTCTTGCCCCATGTGGTTTTATTTGAGAGCTGAATGCTGATGTGAGTGAAGCGAAATAGGAGAATCCTGTGCTTTCCATCCTTTTGCTTTCATCTTTCCATGCGCACAAAAAAATTAAAATAAATAAAATTCAGAAGAGGCATGAACTCCGCTACACTGGTAGGAACTACTTCAAATTAGTAAGATAAAATGTGACTGCTCTGCTAGTGCACAAAGGCTTCATCTAAATTGAAGTCACTTGGGGATGAGAGCCGCATAGTGCACCCGGGGCATTTAAGCCTGGCAATCGTTTTTGAAATGTTGAAGATGGTGGTAGTTCCAGAAAAATGAAGGGGGAGTAACATAAAAAAAAATTGCATTGATAGCAGCATAGCTTAGAAAGGAGCCTTGCTGCCTAGCTCTTATCGTCTGTCAGCGTTTGAGCATCACCAGCATGCCTGAACAAAGCAAGAACTTGCACTGGTCCCTCAGCTTTTTGGTGGGGTATAGATTTATTGGGATCGGAAGGGGTGGGTGGGGGGAACCCAAAAGCACCAAAAGCTGTGGTTTTGGATGAGTCAGCATTTCCATTTGACATGATCATTCAGAGATTTTTGTAACTCATCCAAAAACAAAAAAAAAAACCAAGAAAACCACCAACCAAATAAAAAAACCAGCGACCTGGTCTCAGCCTGAAACTCATTTGCTTTGCAGAAACAAGAGGTTTTGAGTTATGCAAGTGCAAATTTTCCTTGAAGAATATTGTATGTAAAGCCTTTTTTTTTTTTGCATTTGTTTATCTCCAAAACAGGTTCATTTTTTAAAATGAAAACTTGAGCCTTCGGTCCCTCCTGTGGACAAATAGCCTTACACAAGGTCTTGTTTCATTTTAGAAAAATGAATTGCTGCGCCGGTGGGGTAGTATTTGATTGCTTTAAAAGTTCCTGTCAGTGTTTTATTTTTGTTTTTCGTTTGTGGACTTGCTGTGCCTTTTGCCCGGCCATATTTAGTCTGCATACTAAATGTTAGTCTGCCCAAACACTTTACTTTGTGCACTTAGCTTTTTTCCTTTTTTTTTTTTCCTTTCTCCTTTTTTCTTCCTTTTTTTTAATTTTTTTTTTCTTTTGCTTTCACCCAGATGTATTTTAGACCGAGACAGACTTTGCTCCGATGGGCCGGATTTTAGTCCGTGCACTAAATTTTAGTCCGCAGACTAAAAATAATCCGCGGATTATTTACTAAATCGATTCCCTCACTGAGAACTACAGAGACCTTCATCTCCCGCTGAGCCGTATGCGCGAGGGGCTTCACGGCTCACGAGTCCCACCGTCTGTCCGCCCTCCCGCCCCCTCCCACAAAGACCGCAGGGGGTTTTGCTTTTATTTCTTAGGGCGTTACTCAAAAAGGGAGGCGGGAGGGGACAAATTGAGGGGAAAAAAAATTTCTTAAGTAACGGGTGCGACGGGTATGAGGGGGAATAAACCCGCAATAGAGAGAAATTCAGTCCATACCCGCATTCCTGAGGTGGTACGTCCAGTTCCTGAAGAATCCTAAAGAGATAACGCCAGCAAACAAAATCCAGTGGCGGGGGAAGTCAATCCAAAATGGAGAATAATCCGCGGCGGCCTGAGGCACTCGTAGCTCACGCAAATTAAAAGCATCCAAATTCAAAGTACAGATCTCGGATTTTTACTTTCTCTTCAGCACAAATTATAAATTGCTAGGGGTTTGGGGTTTTTTTTGGGGGGGGGGGGGGGAAACAAACCAAAACAACCCAAAAGTTTACATTGTGTCTCTGGGACAGATTTACAAGTGGGATGCACCTTTGGGGACAAACTAATCTGGCCCCATTGTCTGTGGACGTTTATATCCAGGACCAAGGACTGAAAATTCTTTATGATGGGAATTTCAATTACCCTTTTAGTTCGAGTTAGAGTTTTGATTTCAATTTTTTTTATTTTTTTAGTAAATGCACTGGCATTGGAACATAAATTTAATATAGAAATGTTTCTATACTATGCCTCACCATTGCACAATCGATTTTTTGGCATACACTGTGGTGAAGTTGGACTTGCTGCTATGGAGACTGATGTTTAAAGTTTCTAATTGTATAAACATTTTCTATGTCCCCCACACCATGGATTTCTTATAATATTGGCTATATTTTTCCTTGCTGGACTATTCTCTTTTGGATTGACTCCCCCTGTTTGGATTATTTCACTGCATTATCATCTTTAGGACTCGTCAGGAACAGGACATTTCACCTCAGGAGTACGGGTATGTACTTAAACATTTTTTCAAATTACTAGGCCTAGCCTTGAAAAAAAGGAGAGAAATGCTAGAAGTGGAATATTTGAGTTCAGACTGCATCCTTGAGGCAGCAGCCAGGCGAATGTTGTAACACAAGGTGATAGAAATGAGATGGGCACAGACCTTTAACTCACGTCATGGCTTAGTCACCACTTGTTGCAGGAGGAGGCCGTGTGAGGCCTTCTAATTTTTTTTTATTTTTTTTTTTCCCCTCCCTGGTTTGAAGCAGTTAGGGCAGACTTTGGAAACTGCCTGCCCTAAGTGACTGATTTCTGATCCAAAGGCAGGCTGAGCAGTTCTCAACAGGGTGTAGGAAACAGATGTTAGGGTTTCACTGACTTGAAAACGAGGAGTTGAAGAGTGAACAAACGAGCACTCCTTTTACAGATAGCAGATTTGCGACTGTTTGCCTACTGATTTGCTCAAGATAAGGGCTTGTTGTCTTTGCCTTAAGGAAAAAAAATTATTTTTTTCTTTTTAAGATCTGTATAGTAGCTGATAATGCGAGCTGTCCTGAAGGAAAAACACAGCTAAGAGTGAAGTACTGCAGTTTCAAGCTGTGGTAAATCAAACCTGTTAAAACATCAGTGAGAAGGTGGATGAGGGAGACGTCAGTGGTTTTACCTCATTTTAAATACCAAGCGACTTCACTTCTGTGGATTTACCTCAAGACAGACTCATTTGTGCTACTTACCATGGGGTAAAAAAAAAAAAAAAGTTGTTTGGTTTTGTTTTGTTTTTGTTTTTTTTTTTTTTTAAATCAGAGGCAGTTTTAGACTTTATTCTGGTCAGGCCGTGACTTGGGAGTGATACTTGCATCCACTTTGCACTGTGGTCAGCGATCCCAGCGCTGCGGGCAACCGGTCTCGGCGCCGAAGAGCTGCTGCTGCCCCTCCCCGTAACCGTGTGTTCACCACACGGAGGTCAGCAGGATTCTCAGCTGGCAGCGTTAAGCTAAAGCCTTTCCTTTTGTCATTATAGGCCTCCTGCAAGAACTTTTTTGGTTTGTTTTGCAATAACCCAGTAGCAGAAATAAATTCTGCTCTGTCGGTACCTGGCTCTTTGACTCCCCGAGTCAGAACTCCCGGCCACACGAGTTAGCACAGCACGCACTGCAGCAAACCCGGGTGCTCCTGAGCCAGCTGGGCACCAAGGGGATAAAATTTCAGTCCCTGGAGGACTTAGCATTTGTGTTTGATTCTCATTCACGAGAGCATATGTCTTTGGTTTAAAACGTACTTAAGGAGTGCCTGTGCAAGTTCCTCATTTGCGATTAACTAGCATGTCGTGCACTGATTTCAATCCGCCCCCCCCCGCCCCCCCCCCTTGGTGCTGTGTGGCTTCGGTTCACCTGCACTGGTGCAAAAGCATTTTGGACTAGCTCAATTTTTACCAAAAATGCTGGCATCAGAACTTAACGCTCGCACCCACCCCACTCCCTTTTCCCCAGCCTGCGTATCACCTGCAACATAGTGAGAGACAAGTGCTTGAGGAGGCCATCCAGGCCATGTACATGATTAACTCATATTTTGCTTTTGACGTAATAAGAAAGGAGGATGGGGGTGTGACTAGCTGTGGGTAGAACCGTTCTTAGAGGTTTAAAACAAAGCTGCAGTGAAGAGCTCCTTTTTGTAATCACTCAAGGTAAAAATCTGTTAGAGTAAAATAGTTGGTTCTCTTGATGCAACTTCCAGCTGTCCTTACGAATACCAAATGTGCAGGAATTAGCCCAATAAACTTACGGGAATGACTTGCCAGAATAAGGTCACGGAAGGAGTAACTTGCAAATTAGAGCTAGACGTTTCCTGCACCCCACCCGTGCTTTCCTTGTTGTTCTCCAAAGTTGAACGGCAGCCTCCATAGCAACAGTCTGACCTGCCTGCCTGCAAAAGTCCATGTTAGTAAGACTTCATTCACTAGCCAAAAAAAACCAACCCAAAACCATAGCGGGGCCTTATTCAATTTTTACGTTCAGTGAATCCTGCTCATTTGAACCCTCCTCCCCACCTTCACTCCACCCCATATGCATGGCTGGTAGCACCCGTGTGTGTTTGTCATGATTTTTGAATGAGTTTCCCCTCCATTCTCAAAGTTGTTTTTCTGAGTGCGCTCTCATGAAGTCTCTTGCTGGCATTGCACCTTCACTTTAGTGCAAGACGTTGCAATTAACCCTTTCTCAACCCCAGGAACTGGATTTTCCCATCCTTACTGGAGGACTTTAGCACAAACCACAAGTTTGTTCCAGCTTGTTGGGCAATGAGAGGTTTAATTGCTCTGACTTGCTTCTGGTCAGCAAAGAAGAGAAACATACCCAGACAACCTGTTTCTCCTTGCTTGTTTTTTGTTTCTTGTTTTAGGTCTTCCGGCCCCGCACTCCACCAGAAGCAATCGCGCTATGTAGCCGTCTGTTGGAGTACACCCCCACTTCCCGCCTGACTCCCCTGGAGGCCTGTGCGCACTCTTTCTTCGATGAACTACGGGACCCAAATGTCAAGTTACCAAATGGGCGAGAGAAACCTGCACTCTTCAATTTCACCACTCAAGGTAGCCTGTGAGCGTTGCAGGATCCCTTCTTTAGGAAGAAGCATTGGGATAAATGTTGGCTGTAATGCAGATGTCACTCCCTCAAAAGTAAAAAAATCTCTGAGCAGCACTGAGATTATTAAGCGGTTGCACAAACAGCTGTCCATTTCAAAAAGAGAGGAGAGAGACTTGGAGAAATGGGTTTACAAGATTTTCAGATGCCTGGTGCCTTCGATTCAAATTTAGTGCAGGGGACCGAGGGTTGTTACTATCGGATTGCATCAAGAAAGCTTACATTTGCAGTTCAATGTCTGCAACCTAGCTGATGGTTTTGTGTGAAATATCAGTCAGTGGACCGTGGAGATTTGATTATCGTTTTGGAGACGATCCTGCTCCTTCATACCTGAAACGCCGTAGCAAGGAGTAATGCATATTAGGTTTGTCAGGGAGGTTTGTAGTGTTGCTGCCCATTTTGGTTCTGGATGCGAGATAAATACAGAGGCTTTAGTGTCTAGATTTTGTGCTGTGCAGTTCATCTGGCATTACATTGACTCAGTCATTTAGAAACTGTAAAAATGACAGACAACTAACTTTTTTATTTGAAGCCAGACTGGTATCAAATTTTAAAACCATTCATGTATTTTTTTCCACAGAAGTCAGAATGTAAAACTGATATCCCCCCGAGAACAGTTTTGCCTGCCAAGACAAAGAATGTGAGAATTATGGCATACAAATATGCTAGTAATTAATTTTGCAGCACTTTTATTTTTTTAAGTGATTAACTGCCAATTCTCACCCTTTGAGCAAGACTAGATCTGTGTGCATTTTCTGTTGAAAGTCTAAAACACCTTTTAGCTCAGTTAGCATCAATGTAATTTTTCAAACTCTTTAGTGCATACAATGCCCATCTGCCAAAATGTGAAACAGAGCCCTCGCCTTCAACATGTAGAGCCCTTTTATTTAAAAAGAAAAAAAGGGGGGGGGAGGGGCAAAAAGCTTTGTGTCTATACAAAGTAGTATTTTAAGCTGCCTGGAAATAAACTTTTAACTTGCTTTGAGTGACTGCCTTGCAGAAGGTAAATATATTGAATAGACTAAAACATTTCCAAAGTATGAACACCTTAAAGCGTTCAAGAAAATAGGTTGTGCTTCCAGGTCACTGTCCTCTGTGCTGATTCCTTCATCTGTTGTTACGGATTTAGTAGTTATGTTACAGGTCCTTCCTTGTTACAGTACTCATGAATTGCCTTTTCTTCCCACTCTGAGGCCATCTTCAGTGGCTAAGATAGCTTTGATCCCAGTATCTTAATACAGCTTCACCCCTGTTCTTTTTGAAAGTATTTCTTATTAATTGTTTCTTAATGATGTTAAGATTGGGCTTATCTACTACTTGAAAACAAGGATTTTAAAGAGGGTCAGAAAGCTCTTACAGTGAGTCTTTTTAAAAATCGTTAGGGGAAAAATGAATGCAAGTATTGGGAATGTGTCCCTGGTTTCCCCCCAGGCAGTGTGGGAACTGGGTAAGCTACCTTAATGCTCAAGCAAATTTAAAGCTCCTCTTTTGCCGTCCTGAGGAGCTCAGGTGCTCTGCCCTTGCACAGTGGCTCATTGGAATGGCAAGAGAAATCAGTTCCAGTGGAGCGATTTCCTTAAGATTCAAAAAAGCAGGTTTCTGTCATCGACAGGTGCCAGTTTTACCATCTAAAAAGGGAAGGCAGGACAGAGGCTGGTCATTAACGCGTTTCCAAATAAGCTCTGTTGCAGGTGACCAGCCAACCACAAAAAATAACCAGAGGTTTTGAAAAAAAATAAATACATTGCTTAGCACAGTGATTTTAAGACCTTCGGAATTAATAAATGTGCAGCAGTGGGTCTCATGTAGCAGCAGTCCTGATTACGACCACAAGATACACAAGAAGCTTTTGCTCCTCCTGTGGCCACTGTGCAGTCTTCGATCTTTAGCCGGACTGTGCAAGGTCCCGTCAAATTGGCTAGTCCAGAGCAGAAATCCCAACTGGGAAATAGATCAGCGCATTGGAAATCAGGTGATGACTCATGTTAAGTCATCTGTGGTAATTTAAAAAGTAATGAAAGACATCCTTTTGTTTTGAACGCCATTTGTTTTCAACAGACAACGTTAAGTTTTAGAAGTGTTTTATTTGGCTATATCCAGTTGCCTGAAACCCATGCAGTAGGAGGTAGCTGCCGAAGGCTTGAAGGCAAAACTGTTAGAAATAACAATATAAATCTGACCATTAATGCATTGGATTGATTTTCAGAAAGAACCTAAGCATCATACCAAGTCTGCTGATCTTGGGCACTGATGCTGCTCAGATATAGTCTAGAAAAAAAGCAGTGAGGAGATATGGAAGATAAAGATCATGGTCTTTGGCTGCCAGTAGCAGTTGTAGGCAAGTAGGTGCTTACTTTATTGTAGAGATGAGATCTGTCGAAGAGAGCTTTATCTGGTCATTTTTAATGTCTTGCCTTTAAGTTTCTCTTAGTATTTAAACAAATGTTAGATGCTAATTGGGGTTTGAAAAAATTATTTTGGCTAGGGAGGTATCTCCACTAGCCACAGAGCTGCAGTTCAGTGGCTGTTAGACCTGCAAGACAGAAAGCACAGAAAGCATTTTTTCTCTCAGAGGCTGAATTTTCAAACAATCTGTGAAATGACTACCATTTCCTAAACTTCATGTAACATGTTGGTGATTGTGCTGGGTCACAAATGTTACTGTCACTCCATGTTGGCTGTTAAAGACTGTAAAATTCTTCTGTAAAATTCCTTCAGCACTTAGGAATGGTTATCATGCTTCTCGATGGCAAATGACTTTTTTGCTAAAGTGTGGGGGGTTTGTGGTTTGTTTTGGTTTTTTAAATGAGCCTGGCTCATTATCTTTAAAAAAAGATAGATAGATAACCCCTTCATTTCTAACCAAACTGTTTCAATGTGACCAGAAATCCTTAGTGTGACCATTTCAGTGCCATCTGGGTTTTTTGGACAGTATTTCTGCTCAGGGCATGTGGAGGGGGGAAAGAAAGGAAAACGATGAAACTTGTGCTGCTTCCAGCACTCTTCTAGGTTGAGGAGAAACTGATAGAATAACTTCAGTTACATGGAAAGTTTGTTATTGTGACAAAGCAAACATGATAGGAGACTAATTTTTCCAGGGGATTCTGGGAGTGTTGATATATCAAACGTAATGATACTGAAAAGGAGCACTGCACTATTTCCCAACACCAAGCATGTTCTTGTATTTGGGGAATGAAGATGATCTGGTGTTCTAATAAAACTGGACATTTTCATTCCTGTTCCTTATTGGAGATGTAAACTGGCTGCAAATGGCACGATTTGATCAGGAGAAAGCCGAAGGTGTTCTCCCAGCTGATGTGAATGGGAGTTGGCTCTCATAAATGGATTGGGATAGCTGCTCCGATCACATCGTGGTATTGAAAACTTCGTCCGCACTGACTCGATCACAATACCTTCTTGCAGCAGTATTGATTGTAAGTAGCCCAACCTTGAATTGCAAGTTTGGTTTAGATAAGCAGGCTACAGTTCAACAGCTTGTCCAAATACTGTGTTGGAAATCACTGAGAGCAGAGGTTCTCAGTACTTGGTAGACTGCAGATACCACAGGTCAAGCTTTTTCCCCAGTATTGTTATGTCTCAGCCTTCCAGATGGGATAGCTGCAAAAATATGGCAGAACAAAAATTCAAACAAGTTCTCAAGCAAAGCTGCTATTAAACTTCAGCCAAAAGAGTTCAATTTACTTTGGTTATTTCTTGTCTGAATTGAGCTGCTCCTCTCAGTGAAGTCTCAAGGCGTTCAGAGCATGCTAAATTTAAGAAACTTCATACCAAGAAAGATAACGTGGGGTTTGAGAAGGGAACAAGATCAGTCTTCTAGTCTTTATGCAAGTTCTTTAAGGTAGCTTCAGAGAAATAGTTGCACTTGCCTTAAAAACAACAAAAACCAGTATACTTGCCATAACTGGTGTTGCGAAAGGAGCTGTTCTGACAGCATTAGATGAACGTATGGGAGGAATGAGAATGGGGTCGAAGTGCTGTTGCAAGGCACTTGCTATTCGGTCGGATCAGCTGGTCCTTCGGCTACAGCGATGCAGGCAGTCTATAGCTGCATCCTCGAGGCACCACTGAGAACCAGAAGGTAGCAAATGTCATTCGCTTTCCTTGACGTTTTACATCTGCTTTTTGTTTGGGTCACAGCCCCGTATTGCTGCCGGTGATGAGCAGAAAGTAATGCGGGGATGATAGAAGCTTTTAAAAGAGCGAGGTAAACAGCAGATTCCCAGTAATAACCGATTTGAGAAAGAGCTTTGGAAAAAAAATACTAAAGGAGCACCATCTTCTAGCACAGAGCAGCTAATACCCAAATTAGTACTGAAGTATAGGTTTATCACTGGCGTTCAGCTTTGAAACTTGAGGATTCATGTTTCTTCAGTTTGTTTTTCCGTTTAAAATGGAGACTTATTAACTCTGAATTATATGATCAATATATGAATTCTGAATTATTCCCACGTGTCTTTGGGGATTAGTATTTGTACAAATGCTGCGAGTATTGAAGCTTTGTAGAAGGAGTAGCTGGGCCTGCTTAGACCTGAATGCAGTATTACAGGGTAGATTGGTTGGGTTACAGGTAGTGTAGTAACTTCTGTTTGGTTCTAGACTGGACCTTGTGTTCATAAGTGCTGAAACGCAGCCTCAAAACACGTAGTAGTAAGAGGCTTGTAAGCAGGTGAGAGTCTTCTGCATCTTGCCCTCCCAGCAGTAAAGAAACTTGATGTAGCTTAATGGAGAGAAAAAAATTTCCAAGTAGACTACTGATCCCTTTAGGCCCTAAGTTTAAAGTTTGCATTAAAGAAAAGCAATAGGCTCTTAAAAATGAGCCCAAATAATTTAAGACTGTATACCAAACCACCTTACTGAACCCGTGGCATGATTTGGACTGGTTTCTGTACAGCCCTTGCTATCTGGAGGTCTTATGTAAAAAGCTGTCTATTCTCATTTCTCCTCCAGATAAACCTCCTGGAGCTCCAAAAGTCACCAGTCTCCTTCCGTGAGGTGACTGTTCACATCCTTTTCACCGGATGTTGCTTTCTCAAGAGACAGTCAGTCACTCCTGTTTCTGAAACAAACAGGACCTGTCTTGTCTCGGCTCTGTCCCACCTTCTGTGAGGCACTAGATTCTCTTGAAAGGGTGCCAGAAGGTTGTCATTTGTTGGCAACGTGTTGCCCTTAATCCTCCCACAGTTGTGGCTGTAAGATGCCTATTTCTCATTCTGATACACATTGAGGCTATATTAGATTTGAAGCCTAAAAGACATGACTATTTTTTTCCTTGGTTAATGTCTTCAGAAGGAATGGTTGCATCATTTTGTTGTCCATTTAAATTGCCCAACAGACCAATTCCCTTTGCCTTTCCCTGTGCTTTTAAAGGAGATGTCACCTCTTCTTGGCCTCGCTCAAGGAGACTGCTCTGAGAGATTGGTCTTGGGTTCCTGGGTCCTTGAGAAAGTGATGCTTGAGTGAGCCAAAGAACTGAATCCCTGAAGCTCTTGGAGCAACTGTGGCAGCTGCTTGCTTGCTGAACCAGTGCCCAAAGCAGCACCACTGTTATCAGCCGTCTCCTTGAGACTGATTGCAAGTGGGTTTGTGAAAGGAATCCTTCCAGTGCTCAGAAGGAAACAGCGTTATCGGGCTGTCGATAAGGAACAGGCTTGGCTGGTTCTTTGCTAACTCCCAAGCTGCTGTCTTTCTCTAGGAAATAACTCCTTTGCACCACTACTTGTAGTTTTGACAGTCTTGCTCTGGAGACTGCCTTGCCGAATACGGCTGTGGTTTCCTCTCGCTGGTTGGTGAAGAAGAAAACGTAACGCAACCTTGGGCTGTAAGGGCGTGCGTTTCACCCAAGGTTGTGGTTACGGGGGGTAAACCCGAGGAGCTGAGCCTGCATGCGGGGCTCTTCATGGATGATGAGCTAACTCTGTTTGTTCCACCTCCCCTCCAGAACTGTCAAGTAACCCATCTCTGGCTTCGATCCTCATCCCTGCTCATGCCCGGAACCAAGCAGCTGCTTCAACCCCTACAAATGCTACAGCGGCCTCAGGTGAGAACGTGTGCCTGCCTGCCTCCCTCCCCACCCTCGCTCCCCCTGCCCAGCCGCCTTCCCTGTGCTGTGGTCTGTGAGCCACCTCGGCCCTCGGGCTGAATGGGGAGGAAGGGTTTGTTCGAGCATCTCCTGAAACTTGCTCTTGGTAGGTGGTCATTTGGGTGCCAGCGGTGGTCGCCAACCCAAATCCTAACCCAGGGCACTTAGACTCCACGTTTGACTGTTTCATTTGTTGGTTCCTCTCACTCAGATTTCCGCTATTAAAACCATCATTACCTCCCCTGCTTTTTAGCAATCCATGTGGATTGGTTTGCACCTAATTCTGAGCTCTCAGACAGTCTGAAACTAATACTGACTTGGGGCATGAGTTTGTCATGCCTAGGAAGAGAAGAAACAGCTAGCTTCAGTACATGCGGCCTCCGTGGGGCGTGGATGGAGAGGATTTTTCCCCAAAGGCAGTAGCACTTAAAAGTCTGGTTAGGGAGCTCAGTCAGTGTGCTCACTGCCTCATCTAAGTAGTTGCAGTTGCTTCTTCCTGAGTTCATTTGTGTCATCTTTGGGCACAAGGCAGATGCTTTTGGGTTTTGGCCAGCACGGAGTGAATTTCTTTTTTTGCCTCTCTCGCACGCTCTCAGTTTTCTGTCAGAAACCTTTTAAAAGCTCACTGTTTGGCCTGTAGCCACTCCATATTGTATTCTGTTTCCTAAAAGCTGGGTAATACCAGTTGGGAGACTCCCAGAGAAAATCCTAGGTGCTGCAGGATGTGGCAGAGGTGATTCAGTACGCGGCACTCTTCCTCTGCGTCAGCCCTGAGTCAGCACGCCAGCCGGCTCTCTCGGGGCTTGGGCAGCCGAAGGCAGGCTGCAAAATGGGTGTGCTTCCACACGTATCCCGCATGCACGTCAGTCCCATTCGACAAGGGCTGTCACCCCCTTTTGAGGCGCAGGGGGCTTAATCGGTGTAAGGCAGCTGATAAGGAGAAGCCCTAATTAAAAAGGTATTCTTGAAACGTGCAGGAAAGCGCTTGCGAGTTGATGTGCCGGACAGTTACCTGATCTCCGATGTGCTTGGTCCAGCCAGTGCTCTATAGAAAGCATTTTCATACTCGAGGACAGACAGACGCACCCAGATTTGAAAGATGAGGCTTCTCTCTGAAAATGTAGTAGCAGTAGATAAAAGCTACAGCCTGTACAATTTACGTGCTCTGAATTTAGGAGAAAGCAAAATTGCTATTTTCAAATTTAGTATGTTTGTTTCATACACTTGGCAGTATTTTGCAAATAGTCATGTTCTCTGTTTCCCTTTTATGTGCATCTGTTGCCCAACAATGAGTGAGAAAAAAAGCAGATAAAGTAGTAAAAGTGACTGAAAAACTACAAAATACAAACATGGAAAATTATTTAAAGCCCTTCTGAAAAATACTGTTTCATTTAATGTCCCTTTCATGCCTTTTAAGGAGTTCTCTTTGCCAAGATACAAGTCTTGAGGAATTAAGAAGTCTGTTTTCACCCAGCATTTTCCAAGAGTTCATGTGGGGGCAAAATGCATTAGTCTGAGTCCTAAATATGTCCTAAATGTGATGTATACTAAAAGAAAAGCCAACACCAACCCCACCTTACTGATGTCAACATTTTTAAACCTCCTGTTTGCAAGCACTGCACTGAGCTGGGATAGGACCTCTCATTTGTAGTTCAAAAACCAAAAAAAAAAAAAATCCTTGCAGCTTGGAAAGAAATTGTGAAATTAAGTCCAGTATTGGGCAACACGCAGCTTTGGGTTTCTGCAGCACAGCTGGTTTATAGTTTCTTACTCACATGGGGTTGTCACAACAGGCAGTGGGAATTTCATCAGAGTTGTGATTTTTAGGATTAGGTCCTGTATGAGGTTACATTAATCTGTTGTGCTTTGCATGCTGATGCTGCACTTAGTAAGAGATTTTCATGGAAGGGCTCCCTTCTTTCCCTCTGCCCCCAGTACATTTCCAGTTCTTCAGTAACTGCTAAAGCAGCGTGGGAGCAACTCTCCCACCTTGCCCAGGGCATCCCAATAGGCAGGAGGCTTTTCTGCAAATGTTTGCTCATGTGACTGAGCAGCACAAGTCCAGAAACTACTTTTCCCTATGCCCCCAGTACATTTCCAGTTCTTCAGTAACTGCTAAAGCAGCGTGGGAGCAACTCTCCCACCTTGCCCAGGGCATCCCAATAGGCAGGAGGCTTTTCTGCAAATGTTTGCTCATGTGACTGAGCAGCACAAGTCCAGAAACTACTTTTTTGAGTGGTGATGATGCTACAAAACGTAGCTCTCCAGGCAATTCAAAGGGGAAAGCAAGTTATATGTAACTGTAATTCACATTATTAAGGTGTAATTCTTTTCTCCCTCTAGCAAGCAGAACTGACACTCAGGTTCAAGTGTCCGCTGTTATGTCCAGCGTAGTTGCCTGCTCCGTAAGCCTGGTGCATAGGTGCACGTACCTGGAAACGCAGTGTACTAGTTCATCGCCGTAGATACTCCAGCTGAGCTGTGGTTACCTGCTCGCGGACAGTTACTCCGTTTTCCTAGCTGTCATGTTGGTACGCAGCCATGTCAGAATCTCAGCTGTTTGATCGGGTGTAAAGCACTGCTTTTTATCATGCACCAGGGCAGGGTCATGGTTAGAGAATAAGTAGAAAAATGAGATCTATTTGTCTGAAGTCTAGCAAGGTGGTGTTTGCCAGGAGACTTAGCAGTGGTGTGGTGTTAAGAGATGGAAAGATTGGCTTTTCAACGTAGCATGTTAACAGTGCAGGTTGCATCAAGCCAGCGATACTAGCCCTTCTGCTAACCGATGTGACACTTCTGCATTTTTAAAAGTTACCCAAAATGAGTAATTTTTGTTAACAGATAGATTCACAGTGGTGATTTCAACAGCCCAATGCAACAGTAATCCTGGGATCGTGATCTTAAATGCAGGGGAATTATTGTAGGTAACTTTTGAGGGTTAAAAAAATGTCTTTGTTGTAAATTTCCTCTTCTCTTGAGGCGTGAAGCCGGACTCCCTGTACTCATGGAACCTCGCTTTGCAGTGGGAGTACGCAGCCTTGCTGCGCTGCCGTTAGTAAATTCACCTAAACGTTTATGAGAAATTCCCTGTGACATTAGTGGCATGTCTAAAGCAAAGCGGAGGAAAAGGAAGATGGGAGTTATTGGCCCCTGCTTAAAATGGTGAGCTAGCTCTCTGTGAATTACGCTGTCCATTGGTTAAAAATGCCAGTGCAGCTTTATTCGTGTGGATGCTGACTTGATCTAGCTGGAGGAGGAGGAGGAGGAGGAGGATGGTTTCATAGCCATGCAGGCACAGCACCTGAGAGGGGAGCACGCACACCAAGCCGAAAGCGTATCTGCTCGTGTGACTACGTGTTTTTCTTCCTGGATTAGCCAGCAGCAGTAGTTACCTCTCTGTTAGTCAGCGTCAAGATGGGAAGAGCATAATTGCCATCTGCAGGGGAGTCGTGCCAGCAGGGATGCTGGGGTCGTCGTCTTCGGCATCCTGCTGTGTTGATCCCGTGTAATCCCAAATGCGATGGTGTGCCTGAACTTCCAGCAACAAAACAGATTAGAGCTGGTGTTACCTGCCAATGCGCGGCAGTTGAAAAAGACCACAGCGCTCCATAAAACAAACATTTAGTGCATTTACGGTATTCCCATTGAAGGAATTTTAGAAAACTTTAATTCCTTAACCAGAAGAGGGACAAGCAATTTCCTCAGGCTTCTGCAAGCTCAGCACAGGGGTGAGTCCGTGACAGATAGAGGAGTAAAACTTGCGCATTTTAGGCTTGTCGGTTTTGCTCTGAGCCCTGGATTTCGACATCCATAGGCAGGCACAATAGGAAAACCAGGCTTTTCTCCTCCTTTCGCTTGTCTCCTCAGCTGCCATGTGAGGACTCCCAGGCTGGTGGTAGTTTTGTTTCTGTATCTTTGCAGATGAGCAGCACGGTCTGTCAGCATTACAAATCCAACCAGCTAATGCCATCATTAGTGCTAATGGGCTTTCTCAGACTGAGTTGGCGTCTCTGTCTTTCTCTGAACTGTAGCCCCATCTTTCCTTTCCGGGAGGTTTCTAAGGAGTGTCACGTACCCTCCAAGAAAGCTGAGGCATTCCTCAGAGGGAAAAGCTGGCTTGGAGGAGGTGCTCTATGTTAATGAGAGGTACTTCTGCCTTCTGTTTGGAAGAAGTTTTGGAAGCGGCTGACACTTAAGCCGTAATGTGGTTTCTTTGCCCGCGTAGGCAGAGGTGTCAGGTCGGTACTCGAGGGCAGAGAGGCTGCCCTGACCTCAAGCCGCAGCCTGCCGCGTCGTCATCCGTCCCATACCAGAAAGCTGCGCGTCGGCTCCTAGCTTTGCTCCCCATAGGGCTTCCACGGTGGCGCAGGCCACTGCTTCGCAAAGCAAATGTTTTAGCAACATTGCTGAAGGCCTAGATTTTGCCCAAATACTGTTTTCTCACGGTGAGGAGGGGTCAGTGAATGTCCAGAGACCCTCCTGCTCCAGTCGTGCTCTTTTTCTGGCGCTTTAGCAAAGAGATGCTGGGACAAGCCCCTCTTTGTTCCCCAAATGTCCCGTTGATGCGGAGTCAAAGAACGAGCTGGAATGTCAAAGTCCTGCATTTTAGAAAAGAAATTAGAAAGATTAGAAATTAGAAAGGTTGGACCAGGTGATCATTGAGGTCCCTTCCAACCTGGTATTCTATGATGTTCTTGCAGGTTTGGAGCCAGTACAGCCTTGAGCAGGCTCTGTGCTCTGTCCCAGCCTAGGTGGACTTGTATATATTGTTGTGAAAAGCCCCCTGTAAATGGCCTTGGGCTGCATCACCTGATTTATTTCCTTTTTAACATGCGGCATATGTATTTCTCAGGAACTCCCCCATTAGAGTGATGATAGAAAAGGAGCATATGTTACATATGTTACATGAAGTAGCTCCATCCCCTCCTTTCTTTATCTCTGCTCAGTAGCAATGTAACGATAACGATTTCAGCCTCTGCTGTCTTCGGAAACAGGAGATCAAAAGTCACATTTCATTTCAGCAAATGAAATACAAGCACTTTTTGTACACATACAGAGAAGTCATCTGCCAACAGTACAGACTCCAGCTGGACTGCTTGCATCAGGCATGGCAGATGTTGCATTAACTGGAGTTCATCCATACCTGAAAATTAATCTAGAACAGGCACAGTGAGAGTTTAAAGTGTGGAAACGACTACCTGGCTGGATGGATCACTTGATTTCCATGGTCATCGTTGGTCTGCATGCATGTGGGGTTTGGGAATTGCTCCCTCAGGGTAATTTTCCATGTGGGAGGGCATCTCTCGTGTGCAAGGCTGGCTTTCCAAATAGCATTGGTACTGTCACCATGCTGCCTTGGTGCTTTAACTGCCTTGGTGCTTTAACTGCATGAGCTTTTTTTTATCATGGTGGTCATTCCTTTCTGAGGGAGGGGTTGCAATTAATTTGGGGTGAGAGGAAAGGGAATGGGAAACTCCCAGAGCAGTCGTCTGGCATCCTCTGCCCACAGGAGGATTTCCCTTTCTCCCCACAGGCTCCTCGCAGCATTTCCTTTTCAAATAGGCATCGTCTTCTCTTCCCACTTGTCCTTGTATTGCTGGATGCTGCTGTTTGTTTGACTTCCTATTTTTGTTGCCGTTGTCCGTGTACGGTACGTAATTTGTCACTCGGCAAGTGCTGCCCATCTCGAGACTCATTCATTTTGTTGCCTTTGCTCGCGGCTGCTCTTCCAGCTCTGGCCAGGTCGATGTGGCAGGAGAGGAGAGGGGTTTCGGTAACAGGTGACCGTAGAGCATCGCCCGGCTGCGTTGCCTCGCGAGCTCTGCGGTGCTGGAGAGGCGTTACCGCACCCCCGCTGCCCGCCAGTTGTATTTTGTCGTGTCTGTTATTTATGCTAGTCATACTGTCCTTCAGTCTGAGGTCAGTAAATCTATTCTTTCTTCTTATAAGCCCTTTTCTCCGTGTCTTTCGAATGCACTGTTTGCCCAGTCTGCCCTCTTCTGTACTGAGATAATAAGTCTTTTTTTTTTTTTCCTGTTGCAGTATTGATAGCTTTGCAGTTACTAACCTTAGTTAATAAATTAAGTGGGAGAAATGCACAATGGTTTCTTGTAGAAAACCTCACTTAAATACGGGATGGGAAAAAGATATTATTGTGCTGAGTATTTGACGTGTTTAACATTCACCCACTTTCCTTTTTGTGAGTGTGCTAATTAGATACTGCATAGGATGGCTCCAGATGAAGTCGGTGCATTTTTTTTTTTTTCCCCTACCAACTCTTCTAATACTAAGAACAATTTTTTAGAGAAAATACCTATGAAAACACAGTTACAGTGAATTTCCTTTTGGTATTTCTTTGCAAACCCTGTGTTTTCTTGGAATGCGCTTCGACACAGGCCCATGATCCTGTGACTTGTCTCTCTGTGGAGCACTGTCCCTCCCAGAGAAGAGAAGGTGTTGGAGGCCGTTTACTGCAGAGACCCAGTCCTCTGACAGTGTCGTACGCTTGCGTAAACCTCGTTGCTGGCTTCAGGCCTCGATGTTAATCTGCTTCAGCAGTTCAGAGGGTGGCAGATCCAACTTTGGTTGAGCAACATAGAATAAGGCAGTAGGCTTGAAAGACGTTTTCTGAGGCAACAAGTGCATGAATTACACATTAACAGACAAGCTGTTTCTGCCAGGGAAGCAGGCTCGTCGCATTCATTGTCTGCGCTCATTCACACAACTAACAGACGCCTTTGTTACAAGAAGGCCTAACGAGATGAAACCTCAGCACCGACGTGAAACCTTGTAGTGGCCACGGGTACTTGATTCGCTAGCTTTGGCGCTGCTAGCGTCTTGCCGTTAGAGTTACTGGAATGTAACGTGGGCCACTTACCGCTGCGTGAGCCATGTTACGTCCTGCAAAATCTGCTAGAGCCCAGCTGGGTGTTCGCCTGCCGGCCTGCGACCCTCAGCCCTCGAGGTTGCCTTTGTCCCGCTTAAAGAGCGTCTTCCCACCCTCTCCCGAGACCAAACTGCTCCATCTGCACCCCCTGAAGCCAGGAGATCATCCTAACCAAACGGCACCTCGGTGGGAGTCGTGGGTTTCCCTGTGCGGAGAATGTCGTAGCTGTTGTTCCAAACGTGTTTGTATTTTGGAGGTAATACTGGTTGTTTTTCTCTCTTCCCTTCCTCTCGCCTGTTGTTTGCAGATGTTAACGCGGGAGAACGAGTTCAGACCAATAGTGTAGCTACAGCATCAGCCTCCAACTCCACCTGAACCGGTACCAAGCAGCCAGCTGCACAGGAAAAATCACCAGTAATTTGAGTCTTGCTCAGCAACACTGGTCACATTTGGAAAGAAAATTAAAAAGAGGAGAGAAAAAAAAAAAAAAAAAAAAAACAACCAACAAACCAACCAACCTGTTCATTTTAGTGTTCAATTTTTTATTATTATTATTGTTGTTCTTATTTAACCTTGTAAAATATCTATAAATACAAATCAGTTTCATTGTATTCTCACTCTGCAGGGTGTCCGGGGCAGGGGACTAGGTGGGGGGAGGAGGGAAAGCGGAGCAATACAACACACCAATGTCTCTCCCCTCGTGACAATCTCTTCATGTTGGAAGTTTGCTGTTGTGTACTTCAGAACCAGGACTCTTGCCTCATGCCCCCTCCCACAACAGAAGGAAGGAAAACAAAACAAAACAAAACAAAAAAAACCCCAAACCTCATTCTCTGCTGAAGTTCTTTTTTTTTTTTTTTTTTTTTTTTACCCTTTTTTTTTTTTTTTTTTTTTTGGGATTTTTTGTTTTT